CCATGTGTCCATCCCAAGAGAAACTCAGAAACCTGGTCCTACAAGTTATGAACTTGTCTTCGTAGGACGTGATTTACCTACAAAGTTGTCACTCAAACAGCTTTGCAGGTAGATAGAAAAAAGTCCTGGGATTAATATCCATCCTCAAACCTCCCTAGTTTTAAAGGGAGTGCTTCTGAGCAGGCATTCCCAGCTACAAGCTGCATACACCCTTGGGTGTCAGTGAACAGCACTTGGGCATCTGTTAACTGGTGAAAGAGTCAAACAAGCTCAGAACTGAGAAGGTGAACAGTAGTGCCAGGCCCTGCCATTCATTGGACTGCACACACAGATAAAGCCCCTGCAAAGTTCCTGGGAACCAATACAGGCATGTCATTAAGTGCCATCGAGTCATAGCGACCCTGTATAGGGTTTCCAACCAATACAGACATATCTTTGAGATAGTGTGGGTTCAGTTCCAGACCACTGCAATAAAGCTAATATTGAAGTAAAATGAGTTACATTTTTTTTTTTTTTGTTTCCCAGCGCATATTTATAATCTATAAGGAGTCCTGGTGGCATTGTAGGGCAAGCACTGGACTGCTAACCACAAGGTTGGCAGTTCAACCCCACCAGCTGCTCCACAGGAGAAAGATGAGACTTTGTGCTTCTATAAGATTTGCAGCCTTGGAAATACTGTATAGGGTCACTCACTATGAGTCAGAATCGATTGGTACTGGGTGATCCATTAAGTGCGATAACATTATGAAAAAGTTTTAAATACTGTGAGAATTGCCAAAGTGTGGTAGAGACCCGAAGCGAGCCATACTGTTGTAAAATATGGTGCACAGAGGATTGCCACAAGCCTTCAATTACAAAAACTCAGTATCCGGGACGTGCAATAAAACAAACCACGCTAAGACAAGGTATGCCTGGAGTGCTCCCAGGTTCAACACTGCTGCTGGAAAGTGTCCGATTAACCCTTTTTCTGAGAGACTACTGCTTTCCTACCAACAACATCCCAGCCTTGCCTGCTCACTCCTGCCACCTGAGCAAAAATCACTGAGGAAACTTTGGGATTGAAATCATAGGCTGTCAAAACTGCGGTTTGAAACCCTATCAGTGAGAACAGAACGTTCCAAGCTTGATTCAACAGTCCCTTTGACCCGGAGAAGTAGCGTCAATTTCAATCTAGCTGGAAAACAAACAAAACCAGCTGCCATTGAGTTGAATGCGACTCTAGAGACCTGGTAGGACAGAGTAGAACTGCTCTCTTAAGATTTCAGAGACTAAATCTTTATGGTAGCAGACAGCCTCACTAGAAGCACTGACCTTGGAGTTAACAGCCAATGCTTACATGCTCACACCATCAGGGCTCCTCCACCTAGCTATAGAGCCTCAGATCTAGGTAATCAGGCACAACATTCCTTGTTTAGCTTAACTTTGCAGTTTCTAAGGAAATGGGACTCTACTTTTAGGTGAGGAAAGCAATTGAAGTTATGAGAAGCGATGGACCCAGGTGCTTGCACTCCCTGGCTCAATGTTTCTCCCTCTATACTGCAGCATATCAGCTTCCCCTGGGATCAGCAAATGATCTCAGAATTCATTTACCTGGCACAGGTGAACTTTTGACCACCTCATCTGTATCCACCTGGTCAGCCTACCCAGCTCAGACCTGCTATTTGCAGTACAGCTAGCATTTGAAGGATGAACCCAGAGACCAGAATTACTATTTTAACATATATTCTTGAAACACGTGACTTTAAAATCATTTAATCTCCTGAGAGTTGCAGGACCTTCCCTTGAAACGGCTGGATCGAAGTCCCTTCCCCAACCCCACCCCAGTACTGATGGATCCAGAGACAAGAAAGAGCCCAGATGCAGGTTCAGTTCCAAGTGTCCAAACGTTTAAATTATAATCAAACAATCCAACTAGTAATTACACGTGTCTATCTGCTCACCTTGGAGTCCTGGTGTGGCGCTGTGACCTAATGCGTCAGACTGCAAAATCGGTGTGAATTGCAAGGTTGGTGGTTCAAGCTCCCCAGCTGCTCCTTGGAAACCCTATACAAGGTCGCTATGGGTCGGAATCGACTCGAGAACACTTAACAACAACGTCTGCTTACCTCAAGGAGCTCTGGTAGTGTAGTGGTTACAAGTTGAGTTGTTAACCTTAAGGTCAACAATTGGAAACTACCAGCTGTTCCGTGGGAGGAGATGAGGCTTTCTGCTCTCATAAAGATTTACAGCTTCAGAAACCCTACGCAGGGTCGCCGCGGCACACCACCCCCACCATTTGCTCACCTCAGCAAATACGCTTTCATAAGACCTGGAAGTCTGTAGTTGCACTCACAATTTTTAGATTCCTCAAAGTTCTAGGAGCATGGGTCATCAGGTAAGTGGGGCCCAGCCCCAGCCTCACCCCACTTCTTTTCAGCCTCAGGCCCATCCATCCCACACAGTGAGGGTACTGATGTGCACCCATGTAGAAACCTAGTCTGTATTTCCAAGCCCCCCCCCACAATTCTAACAGATTATCTCTGGATTTAGAATTGTGCACGGTACACAGAAGTATGATCATGGGGAAGAGGCCTGTGCAGGCCCTGGAAGCAGGCTCACGGCTGCTGGGGGTGGGTTTGGGGGGTCCTGGAGGATCTGGAAGGAGTTCTGGTGGCATGGTGGTTTAAATGTTGGACTGCTAACGGAAAGCTTGGCAGTTCTAACACACCAGCAACTCCATGGCAGAAAAGTTTGAGCCATCTGCTTCCACAAAGATTTACAGGTTTGGAAACCCTATATAGCAGTTCTCCTCTGTCCTGTGGGGTCACTGTGAGTTGGAACCAACCTGACAGCAGCGAGTCTGGTTTGGTTTCGTTTGGTTTGGGTACCTGGAATAGTCTTTGAAAGCAGTGTGTAAGCTCTAGGTGGGCACATCATCTTGACTCCCCACACTCCTTGCCCAGTGGGGAAGGTCACAGCCAGAGAAGGGAACAGTGGTGCCTCCTAAGGCACCCAGAACAAGAGCTCTCCTGCCCAAGTTCAAGGACAGTACTGCATGTTTATCTAGTACCAAGAAGCAAAACCAGACCACTTGTTATCAAATCAACTCCAACTCACAGTGACCGTGTGTATGTCAGAGTAGATTGTACCATAGAACTTTCAATGACTGACTTTTCAGTAGTAATCTCTAGGCCTTTGTTCCAAGGTGCTTCTGGGTACACTTGAACCACTAACCTTTCACTCAGCAACTTAGCACTTGTCTAGGGGTGGAACTAGATTAACATGACCAGATTTTGTGACCTTGGGAAAGCACTTCCATTTCTCTGGACCTCAGTTTTTTTCTCCTTTGTCTCTGGGGGAGCTGGGCTACTTCCACATTCTAGAACCTTTGAGAGATTCCAGAAAGTACACTGACCCTATCCAGCAGTGCAGGAACACTGGCCCTTGACCCTCATGGAAGAGAGAGCCACAGTGGGGAAATGACCTGTCTTTATTTTTTGATTTCCCACTGGAGGCCCTAATGTGGTAGTGGTGTTGGCTTTGCATCATGGATGTAACATCTCAAAGGACATGCAGCAGAGGCTCAGGCAACTGGGCTGGCCAATGTGCCCATCTCTGGGGAGACCAAACCACCGGCACAATGATGCGCACAGCCAGACATGTGTTCAAGACCCCACTCCACCTTCGGCACCTAAAATAGAATGTCCCTCTATCTGGTAACAAAAAGCAATCCTCATAACAGCTGTGGGGCACACTTCACCTCGGAGGCATCTTTCCAAAGCTAAGCTCAGCCCTACTCAGGAAAGATGGTGGTGACACGCAGCTCACAGATGCACAGAACTACAGTCTAGTAGAAAGCGAAGAGCTCGAGCACACATACATGAGGACAAGGCGACACCAGCAGGGCCTAGATCATAGCCACTTAGAGGAGTTAGCTGTAAGCAAAGACAGGGCACTAAGGAAAGAAACAGTCTCTGCCCACACTGCGTACTCAGCAGGGGACCCTAGACGCACCAGGCATGGGCTCAGCAGGGAAGGCAACTCTGCTTAGAGTCTTCTCCCTAGTAAATGGACAGGAAGGGCATTCACAAGGCAGAGGTCAAAGTGAAGTCATGAGGTCAAGATGGTGCCCAGGGTGGTAAAGCCGCAAGCCGCCCTTGGGGACACAACCAGAAGAGAAAGGCCACAGCTCTGCTACTGTCTGCATGACCAGCAGGCCTTACCCTTCACCTGAGGGTAAGCATGGGTTTGGTGACTCTCAGTACTTTTTCACAGTTGAGTCTCTTCCTGGGGGAGCCATGTCCACATGAGTCTGTGGTGGACTGTGGCCAGTTGAGTGTCCTTCAGCAGGTCCAGTAATAACTTTGTAACAGGCACCATACAGTCAACCCCTTTGGGTATGTGGCATCCATATACACTCTCTTACACACACTGGAAGGTCCATAAATCAACTAAACAACTCCATGTTTCCACCAAAGAAGATGAACGAGATCTGTGAGCCACGGGGAGTGTGGAACTGTCCATTCCCTGCTTTGTTGTTCTTTGACCTCAGGAGGACTAAAAGAGAGCTGCCCTTGGGGAGAATGCCAGCGTTTCCAGAGGGCAGCAAGGCCTCATACCAGACCCCCAATATGATGAGAACAAACTAAAACAGCCCCATGGGGACGTATGTGTCTTAACAGTGCTAAGCCACGGCCGTGGCCGATCAGAGTTAGTGGCATTCTGGGAACGGGAGGGCTTTGTAGCCGGTTCTCTGACCCAATGGTAGCAGTGGGGGAACACTGATTGCCAGGTTGGGCATGGAGAAGGTTTTCCAGTACTTTGGATTAAGACAGGATGCAGTGGTCCTGGGTTCTTCCAGTCAGACTGAATGAAAAGCGAGTCTTAGCAGCAAGAGGTGTCCTTGTTTCTGTTGCACGAAGATTGGTGGAAACTGGACCAGGACCATGCAAGGTTGAGAAGTTGGAGATGGAGAAGTTGCTGTCGTTTGTGGGATGTAGCCCACCTTCTCCTCAGGGCCCTCATGTGAAATAGCGGCAGGGCGTGGAGTCAATGTAGCAGTATGGGGTACACCGCAGGTCTCCATATGACCTGAGGAGAGGCAAGAATATAGTCAGAGCATCACAGGGCAGGAAGCAGGAGAGCACCTGGCCAGCCCTGAGGACATAGCAGGGTAAGGTGATCCCTACCCAGGGAGATAGGTCTCGCAGGTCAGGTAGCCAAAGTCGGAGCCATCACAGTCCTCAACGCCTTTGTGCCGGTGACCGTCCCCACAGTAGGCTCGGTGACAGCCTGAGAAGACACAGGAAGGACAGCTGAAAAGACTCCCTTCCATGAAGCTCAGATACATCCAGGAGCTACCCCTAGGACCGCAGAGTCTGCATAAGCAGTGGAGTGAGAGAAGGAGGCCAAGCTCTGGTCCACTCTGCCACGTACAGCTGGGGGACCAGGAATAGGCCACTTGGCTTCTCTGAGTCCTGATGTCCTTCTCTACATACAAGCCTGGACTCCACTCCCAGGACCCAGGGCAGTGCTGGGTGCCAAGCACAAGTGATGTCACCTGGTGAGTCCTGGCAGGCAAGTGATACAGGTGGGTCCAGCATGTTTTTCTAGGGAGCCAGTGGGGCCTCTGGTTTCACACTAGGAGAGGTTCTGGTGGGGTGAAACACCCTCTCTCTCCCTCCCTGCTGCACCTTCATGGTTACAAGGGCACAGAGGCAATGGTAGTTCTACTATGACCAATGGCAGGATTCCAGGCCATGCCAGCATACTAGGGATGATCATCCCGAGACTTCCAAACATATCCAGGGAAGATGCAGCTACACAGGAAGCGAATCAGCAACTCCTCCCTGTGTCCCATCACTGGTGCACATCTCTAACATGCTGCATATTCATCCTGCCCTTGAGGGAAGGACATGTCTGTTCATCGACACATCCCCAGCCCTGAGCCCAAGCCTGCCTCCTACTGTGGTTGTTGTTAAGTGCTGCCATGTCAGTTGCAACTCAGCCACCCTGTGCAAGGTTTCTGAGGAGTGGCTGGTGAATTTTAATCACTGTCCTTGAGGTTCAAACAGACCTTGCAGTCCAGTCCTTATCCTACAGTGCCACACGAGGACTCCTATAGTAATGGCTTGGAAATTAATTCAACAAATGGATGCCAAACTCTTATCACACTCCAGACAATCCCATGTATATTATTATGGCGTCTCTAAAGATAGGGAGTGGTTAGTTCTGTCGTACCCATTTTACAGTTGAGGCAAGTGAGGTTTACAGCTGTCAGGTGCCCGCTGTCATCCCACTCATGAAGTAGTGCCTCTTCTGAGTTCACGGGTGAGTTGGCTATCTGAGCCTGCATTCAAACTCTATCTGACTCTATAGGCTTCGCTTTATACCTCACCTTTGTCACCTAATTCAAACTAAAGATGCAAGCCCTCCACCACTATGCCTCAGCCTGTGTCCTGTCACATTCCATAAGTGCTGGCCGGTCCAGCTGCTGCCATCAGAAGGGCTTTGCTTCTAGAGCTACAACTAGTAAACACAGAGTTCTGATTCAAATTCTCTTTCCTTTTGGACACAGCACCCCTTCTACCCCTTTATACAATAAAGCCACAATATTTTAAACCTGGGATGTGAGTTTTGCCAAATAAAGAAGAATTAGGATTGGGGGACAAGAGAAAGGCTGGTGGCTTGGCTCTTTGGCATAAGGCAAGATCTTGATAATCACCCCCACTGATAAGCTTCAAGAGTGGTGGAAGGCGTGATCATGTGGCCTGAGTTGTGGGGTAGATACCCACAGACACCTAGGTTCACTGCCTTTGGCTCTAGTACAGTACCAAGCCACCACAGCTGGTGTCCAGGACTCCCCTGACCCCACCCTCATGGCTGTCCAGGTCTCAGTTCCCCAAGGCTGACCCCACTCACTGAGGCAGTCATCACCCATGTCCTCGTTACCGTCGTCACATTCCTCCCCGGGCTGCAAGACCCCGTCCCCACAGGTGCCACGGTGGTCTACCGTGTAATCCACAGGGTAGAAAGGGGTCAACTGCTCAAAGAAACACAACAATTACTGGGGGATGACACATTGAGGCAGCCACTAAGCAGGACAAACCATTGGCCCTAGCTCTGGGTCCACAGAAAAACACTGGGGCATCCCTTGCCTTTCTGGGGTCTCTTCAGAACTTCCTACTCTGGGATGGGAAAGGTACTTCTTTCCTGTTTTCCAGAGCTCTGTAGATGGCAGATCAGGATTGGCGGCCTAGCAGTTTGAGGGCATAGAGACTGTTTGTATCCTTAGTTACGGGCCTTCCTCCTCCAGAGGCTCAGAAAAGAGGCTCTACTGGAAGAGTTTCTCAGGAAAATAGTATGCAGAAAGATGCTATTCTCTTCCATGGAAACAGGCAGCAGAAAACTCTGCCCCCAGGCCCAGCTGTTTGTCCTTAAATGGATGTGTCCCTTCCTGAGTGGGGCAGAGTGAGGAAGGTCCTGAGGTGTCCTCCTTGGGGTACCTGGATGGGGAGCCAGCCAAGGCTATCCTTGAAGTACAGAGATCTCTGGTCTCTGCGGAAGGCAATGGCATTTTGAGTGTTCAGCCTCTCCAGCTCCTTTTGGTTGTTGACCACAAAAATCTGTCAAAGAACATACTGGTAAGGATTCCAGAAAGGATTCTAGAAAGGGTAGGGAAAATGCTGGAGGAGGAAACAGAATCTCATCTTTGAACTGGTTAACAATGAAGAGAATGGGAATTTGCACATTAAGCCCTAGGGTTCTTCCTTCCATGAGGACAAATGTTTTGATTTCCACACCTTTTCAAACCAGTTCCTACTATCTGAGTTCAATTAAAAAAAAAAAAAATTCTGCCATGATTTAAAATTTGAATTGTTCCCAAGACTTAATAAATAAAAATGTAATATCATCTAATCAAGTAATTTAACATTTGGAAATGATTCTAACAAAATTCTTACTCTCAAAGGTGTTCATTACAATGTTATTTATAGAGATGAAAAACTTGAGTGTACCCTATACCTATGGTTAAATAAGTCACAGCACAGCTGCACCACAGATGAGTGACTAGACATCCATTCAGATGCTGTTTATGATCAAATGATGTCCAGAATTTATTTCAAAATAACCCAACATAGTGTGGGCATTAATGAGTAGACATAAAGAGTAAACAAGGAAACAAGATTCATTAGGTGAAGAGCACACAAAATATCACTATACTATTTGCTCTGTTTTTTTATTTACTAGACATTTTCTTTAATAAGTTTCAGATGATATTTATAAAGAATATAGAAATATGACTATGAAGAGAGACAACTGGGATATAAAATTTCCATACGATATCATCTCAATCATGTAAAAATTTTTCTTGAAAAGGACAAACAAAATGTCCCCCAGAATGGACCCATAAGCAATGGACAATTTGGTTTTGTTCTGTTGATTTTGTTATTTCCTATCATGAGTATGTACCCAGTCTAACAAGGGAAAACTCATTTTACTACAAAGCGTTGACAAAGCTATGAAAGGATCAGGTGACAGGTCCTTATTGATCACAACCACCCCGGATTTCACCCAGAAGAGCCTTACCACAGGAACTTGTGGGGAACTGGACCCATACACAGATTCCCCATAGGAAGGGTTATTCACATTCATGGGAGGTCCACACAGACATCTTCCTGGAGGCCCCGGAAATCCTCTTTCCCCTTTGGGTCCCATTACAAGTTGTCCTAGGATACAAGAGACGGCTGTGTTACTAGAGTCAAAGAAGAAAAAAAACAAACAGCCCAACCAAGAGAAAGTTGAAGTTCACAGCATTTCAGGAGAGAGGTTCAAAGAGATGCTTTCGATCCAAGATAGGGAGCAAATTCTTTGCAGGTCCCTAAATTATCCTTGGTGGGTTACGTATTTATTCCCAGGCCTCACTTTCCCTTACCTCTATTTTAGAGACTAGATGGAAGGAGATTTCACTTTCTAGACTCCCCTGCAGCTAGAGGTGACCATGTGCTCACAGTTCTTCTGGCAGATTTGAGGTCTGTGGTTTGGGAAGGATAGCCATCTGGGAAAGTTATTCCTGAGAAGGGGAGAGATATAGCTTAGGGGAAACATCCTAGTTCTTTGAGTTTTGAAGATAGACAAGAAGGCTGTTGCTGCAGCAGTCATATTGCAACCAGGAAGTCACAAGTATATTAAGAGAAGTGACTATGCAGGGACTCATGGGTCCTGGGGTCCTGACAGTAACACTTAAAGGCTGAACCAAAGACAAATGCTGTCACCTCTGGACTTTCTTATTTTATGAGAAAACCAATCCTCTATTTATTTACACCATTATTGAAAGGGGCTTCTTGCAGACAAATATATTGCTGACTGATAACTTTACTGCTTTTTATTCATTTTGTTTTCTTACATACAGGATTTTACAGAGGAATTTTTGTGTGTGGGTTTCTTTGGTTTCTTCTGGAAGAAAACGGAACATATTCAGCCCCATTACTCTCTCCTGGTAACGAGAAAAACCCTGGTGTGGCGCTGTAGGATAAGCACTGGACTGCTAACCTCATGGTTGGCAGTTCAAACCACGAGCTGTTCTTTGGGAGAAAGATGAGGCTTTCTGCTCCTATAAAGAGCAGAAACCCTATACAGGGTTGTTAGGAGTTAGAATCGATTTGATGACAGTGAGTTTGGGTTTTATGTGTTTTTATTTTTGATACTGAGAAGAGTCAGGATATGTCCAAGAAGGATATGAACAGGAAACTTCTACCATGTAGAAGACCTTCTAGAGTCAAGTTCTCACCTTGACTTTTAAAGTCCAGATGCCCAGGCTATACCCCAAACCCATTCCACTAGGATTTGGGGGACTTGGCCCTAGGCATCCATACGTTTTAAAGCTTTCAAGATGATTCCAATGTGCATCAAGTTTGAGAACCACTGGTCTGGGGAAACAATTTTTCCATAGGCCACTTACCCTCAGAGTGTCCTCCCATTCACCCTCCAGCTTCCACCCCCCATACCTCCTAACGCCCTTCTGATATGTATTCAAACATCACTTCCTCAGGGAAGGCTTTTTGGGTTCTTACACTACCATGCACATGCTGGGAATCATTTCGTAATTCCTTAAGCCTTTTCTTCACAGCATGTATCTGTTTATGACTCTCAAAGTCTATCTCCTCTGGGAAAATGTAAGTTCCAGGAGGGCAGGTATACACCTGGTTGTGTTTATCACTGCTTGACACGTAGTAAGGGTACAATACTCATGTGTTTGATGACTGAATGAATGAATGTAGATTCGTTGCAGAGATAAACTCTAGGAAAGTCTAGAAGTCACCCTCTGATCAAAAGAAAAGTACTAGAGCAAGAACTATTAAACAGAAAGAAAAGGAAAAATGGATATGACAAAAGGAAACAAGCAAGCAGTGGCATGCCTAGGGTGGTACAGGGGGTGCAAACAGCACTGGGCGACGTCACAGGGGTGACACACAGATGACTGTCTATAACATTTTGTTCAGTGTTTCAGGAGAAATGTATCATTTTAATAAAAATATCCCTGAAGTGAGTTTATAACAATAAAAACGTTTTTCAAAAGCCCAGTGTATGCGTATTAATAGACCTACTAGGCTAAAATGCTAATTTTACCTTCTGAACATTCTAATGTGCTCCTGTCAGGGCTGCCAACATCCCCACTTACACTGATGATTGAAATCATGTGGTTTCATCTTTCCGTGCTACAAGCATGTGCTGCTGTTGTTTGTTGCTGCCAGTGTTTTTACAGTTGCTGATTTTGTCAGATTTTCTGGTATTTTTTTTAGCTACTACAATATTGTGGCAATTAGTATTTGTGAATCTATATATGTGTATGTATTTTTTTTTTTAAGAGCTCTGGTAACGTAGTGGTTACGAATTGGGCTGCTAATCTCAAGGTCAGCAGTTCGAAACTACCAGCTGTTCCACAGGAGAAAGATGAGGCTTTCTGCTCCATAAAGATTTGCAGCCTAGGAAACCCTGTACAGGGTCGCTATGAGTTGAAACGAACTCCACGGCACATAACCACCACAATGCAGTTGCTAATAATGTTGTAAATAACAACGTTGTGATTCAAGGTAGAAAGATTTTACAAAATAGTTTTGTTGTTAGTATTCATATAACCTAAGAAATAATGCATTTAAGTAATTTACAACTGTATTTAATGACAATTATTCTATGATTCAAATTGATAATAGATATTACTAAGGATTCTATATGGTCTGATATGGGAGGAGGTCCATGGGGATGGAGGGAAAACACCATGAGTTACTACACTAGGTGACACCACTAAAAATAAGTACCCCTTCTCCTGGGGATCTAAGGGGACCTTGAAAGATCAGCCTATCATTGGTTTCAGAAGAAGCAAAGTAGATCATATGGTATCTGGGACATCCAGCAACTGGGAACTGGGTATGGAAATCCCAGGAGGGCAGGAAATACCAGGGGAGAGTCCTGGTGGGGACCCAGGGAAGCAGCTGCACCAGGAGGACACCCTCATGGAGAGGCCCCACACACCTACCACCCGAGGCTTCCCAAGCTGTTGACAGATGCATCCAAAATCAGAAATGCTGCTGGCGTAAGCAGAAGGGAAGTTTGCCAATGTTTCAAACAAAATTATAGTTGTTTTAACAAAAAACGTGAATATGATTCTGTGGAAAGAGTTTGAGTGTGTGTTTCTGGTATTTTCAGAAGGGTCTGGGGAGACAGAGACTCCTAGGAGTATTACAGGTAATTCGCAACTGGGGAAATCCAAGTAGCCAAGGAAGTGAAAGGAGCATTCGAGAAGCTTTCCAGAAGGTTCTGTGGAACCAATTCCTCCACCAGAGCCATGGCCTCAGCTATACTCAGGAGCTTGTCAGATACTATCAGATAATTAGCAGTGAAGCTGAGAATTCATGTTTGATTTAACGCTATGCCATTCAGATGGCAAACATCCAAGAACACTGCTCTGAGGAAGCTGGTAATTCCCAGGTATCACTCTGATTCACTTATACCCAGTCTGGGTGCAGGAAGAACTCAGATAAATTTTTTATTTGATTATTGCATATTAAATCCTAAAGGCATTTTGCCTTTATCCCCACCTGAACTCTTCTTTCCCTATAACACAGGCTATTAAATAGCTCCCTCCTTCCCCAGCACCAGGACTAGGGTGTCCTCTCACAGGGCAACCTGCTTCCCGCCACCACTATAGCATCTCTGCCTCTTCCTCACAGCTGTTGGAGGGCATCCATTACCCCTGTCTGCTTCCTGCCAAGCTGCAAGAAGAGTACCACTACCTAAACCTTTCCACTCAGACCTTGCTTAGCTTATCCCACAGGTATGGTCCCATCACCACCCAGCAGCCAGGGACCTCTTTTCCATCTCTGTTTGGGGAGCCTCCACACAATCTTGGCTGTAAGTGGGTACAGTAGGGAGAAGGAAGTCTGGGAAGAGGCAGACAAACCTGGGTATCCCTTTCCAGTCAGCCCCACTTATGCTCAGTTCCTTCAGGGCCTGTGTGGCCAAGGGGATGGGCTCAGGACCAGGTATCACAGAATGGTTCTGAACCAGGTGTGACTGCCAGTCAGCTCTGTGATGTCTCTGAGACTCGAGGTTCTTATCCATTAAGGAAGGGTTGGATTAGACCAAGGAGTTCAACCTGTGGTCTACAGACCAGAGATGACATCAAGATGGACTTGAGGTGGGGGTTCTGGGACTCTGTGAAATAGGGTGCAGGGTCTTGGGTATAAACCACAGAAGTAGATGTTAAATCAACACCAACTCCTGATGACCCCATATGTGCCCCATAGGGGTTTCAATGGTTGATTTTTCAGGCACAGATATACAGGAGGTACTTTTGAGGATCCTTTTGGTGGATTCAAACTTTCAACCTTTCAGTTAGCAGCTGAGCATGTTAACTGTTTGCACCGTTCTGCGACAGGATCTTGAGTGTAGATATATATATGTTTTTCCCCTGGGAGTGGGTTTGGGACTTTGATCAGATTCTCAAAGATAGTCGCAAGAATCTCATTTAGGACCTATTTCAACTCTGGATGACTGTCTTGACGGGAAGCAGAGAAGGTCTCTGTCCCTTTCCCTCTACGCCAATACCCAACTCTGCTTTAAAACCTTCCCAACATTTTGCCTCTTTTTTGCCTAGTTTCCTTAATTCTCAGCCCCCTCACTTAGGATGAATCCTCATAAAGGAAAAGACCCAAAGAAGTTACAGGGAGGGCACATCAGTCCAAAGAAATGGCTACTTTCTGGTTGTGATACTACCCTGCTTGTGATACCAGAAACCATGAGCAAAGGCAGCCCTTGTCTGTGAGTGCCTGCTGGGTACCAAGGGGTTGTGGAGCTGACTCAGCCATTGCCTCTGCCCTCAAGGAGCTTGACATCTAGCAGGAGATGAAACACGCCTGCAGGCATATTTGCTTGTGGAGAGGCCATAAAAGAGGTGTGACTGGTTCATGGAGGGAGACCTGTTTCATTAGAAGTCCAAGGAAGGCCTTATTGATAAAGAATGCCATTTTAGACCAAATTTATAATAATACAGCCATGTGGGCCCAAGGAAGATGCAGGGTTGTAGAAGGTTTGGCTGAGATGTGGCAAGGGGCAGAAAAAGAAAGAGTAGAAGGAGGGAGGAGGGGGTGAGGAGCACGTGGGTAGGAAGGTCATGGGGTTGGAGGAAGGAGGGGTAGGTACACTGGGCTGGGTGAGAAGTACTTAGAAGGCCAAACACAAATGCTAGGCTCACTAAACAGATGAGATTCAATATTGTGGAGACAAGCAAAACAAAACAGTGGGCATGTGAGCGAGCGGCTGACCTTCATCAGGTCCTGCTTTCTCACCCAGCCCCAGGTTCCAGGAGGGAACCTGAATTCAGGTCAGATGAGGACATTAGGGTGGCCTTTATGAATAAATGGATGAAGACCATCGAAGTCTCAGTTTGTTAAAATCCCCACCCTAGGCTCCCGGATTACTCAGCTTTTGTGAACTCGGAAGCTCTCAATGGGCCAAAAAAGTCCCAGTCCAAAGGCAAAACCTAGGCTTCAGGCCAAGATCTGAGGCACTGGATTTGGTAGCTCTTGATCATGGAGCTCCAGGGAACCAGCTGGAAGGACCCCACCTGGATCATCTAGCCAAATTCCTCAGATTATGCATGGGGTATGGACACGTGGCCTGGGCTGCATTGCAACTCTAGTTCCCGTACCAAAATGCAAATAGGTGTGGCAAGATAACTTATACTATGGGGCTTCAAAAAGTTCATGGAAATTTCTATTATCTTTTCATTCCACTTTTCCACAAACTTTTTGAAGTCCTATTCTGCTCTGGGGGAGAAAGATGAGGCTTTCTGCCCCCGTAAAGATTTACAGCCTCGGAAACCCTGTACAAGGTTGCTATGGGTCAGAACTGACTCCATGGCACACAGCCACCACCATTCATATACTACTTGATGTTGTTCTTTCAATGTTTCCTTCTCCCTCAATTTCAAAGAGGTAGTCAGACTTCATGCTTTTTCGTCCTTACTGAAAACAACTACAGCTGGAAGACAACCTTGCTTTCCTACCTTCTGTTCTCTAAAGGGCAAAGACGTGGTGGTGTTTGAGGAAGATGAGGAAGATGAGCATCGTAGGATGGAAAAAGGAGAAATTTCCCCAGATGCAGAAAAGAGCTCTTTAAGCAACAGGGACCCTCTGTTATCTGGGGGAAGGAACAAAGTCTCAGAAGGAATGGTTGTGGGGTGTTTCTGGAAATGCCAATCATGACAACTGGGATTCTTAGCCTTGGAAATAAATGTTCCAGAATCCAAATATGGCATGAGGACTGTACTCTCCAGATATCCAGAACCACATGGATTTGGACAACAAGCATTTCAAAGGAAAATAGGATAGATCAAAGGTTAAGGGACCTCTGTGGATATTTTCTTTCATAATTCTTTAGACTCTTTGCCCAACCTTTTTGTAGAAGTTAGAGGAGTGAAGAGAACAACAATGCCTAAGATTGCATTTTCCTGGCATCTGGCAGGTTGGAGTCTTAAGCCAGCTTTAATTTGGTTTAAAGGATCTAAAACAACGACTTTTTGTGCCTCTCCCAAGTATTATTGCAAATATATTCCTGTAAACGGAGAGAGAAAAAAAGTGTGCTGTAGAATTTTTCAGACATCTTCATTTTCTTAAGAAAAAAGTTGGAATAAAAATTGCATTGATTCCTTTTGCATAACTGAAAACAAAACCTTGCACAGTGAGTAAGCAGTCTTTTTATAACCTAGAAACACTGTGCATCTATGTATGAAGGCCTTCCTTTGAGCTGACAAGGAAACAAACAAAGTAAAGGGCTTAAGACCTGCCTAGTTGCCATTGCATCCCCATGTGTGTCAGAGTACAACTGAAATCCATCAGAATTCCAATGGCCAATTTTCAGAAATAGATTGAAGTAATAAGTCAGGTGTAACCATTCCCTCTTCAAGTGGTGGACTTGACTTTTTCCTTTCTTTTCTCTCTTTAGTTTCTTTTTTGTGATGTCTTCCTATAAGCAGTGCAAAGGAAAAAAGTCTTTCGTTAACACTTTATGACTGACTAGATAGTTAAATAGAAAAATATGCAATGCTATCTTTAGTTCTATATTTAAGAGAATTTCTGAAGCCATGAAACAATGTTTTTTGGTTTAGTTTTTGTTGTGTTTTCTAGAAAAAGGCGTCAGCTAATGATACATGTGCCTGTTATTTTTCACTTAAACTATAAATGACATCATCGATGTAATTTAAAAATTTTCTTTTCCCCTCTTCTATTTGTTCTGAATAAGAGAGACCATAGAAAAATTGATGCATGTGAGTGATGGTGTTGGAGAAGAATATTAAAGGTACCATGACTACCAGAAGAACAAACAAATCTGTGCTGGAAGAAGTACAACCAGAATGCTCCTTAAAAGCCAAAATGACCAGACTTTGTCTCTCATACTTTGGACATATGGTCAGGAGGGACCAGTCCCTGGAGAAGGACATCATGCTTGGTAAAGTGGAGAGTCAGTGAAAAAAAGGGAGACTCCCAATAAGATGGATTGACGCAGTGGCAGCAACAATGGGCTCAAACATGGCAATAATTGTGAGGATGGCGCAGAACCAAACAATGTTTTGTTCTGTTGTACAGAGGGCGCTATGGGTCAACAGTGACTCAGTGACACCTAGCAACAACAACAATTTGTTCTCCAAAATGCTGAGACAAAACCAGAATGGTGTTTGTCTCTCTTGTGTTAAAGAATGAGCCAAATTGTGGAGAAAATGTTAAGGAATGAAAGTGCCTCTGGTGATTCCTAACTCATACACAAGGCAGAGCTCTGTGCCCTCTCTGGCCAGGAGGGTGTTGTTGTTGTTGTAAGTGCTGTAGAGTTTGTTCCAACTCATAGAAATGAAGGAGTTTCCAAGGAATGGCTGGTGGGTTTGAACTGCCAGCCTTGGGGTTAGCAGTCTAGTGCTTATCCTACAGTACCACATCAGAGGCTGATGCTGTAAGTCAAATGAAGCAGTGTAAGTCTTACCTGTAACTGGAGGACCCAGAGGGCCTGGAGGGCCTGGAGGGCCAGGTGGACCAGAAGGCCCAGGCTTTCCTGGAGGGCCCATAACTCCATTATCTCCCTTCTGACCCTGATGAAGAGTAAGAAAGAGCTCGTTACAATTGTCAGTTACATGATATGGCAAACTTTCATCTCTTTGTCTCTAAAGCATGGACCACTTAGTACTTTGGTGAAAGAACCTGGGCAAGATGCAATCTGAAGATCTTGAACACCAAACTTCTGAAAAAACTCAGGGGAAATGACATCGGAGTTAGCAAGGGTTGATGTAGACCCTGACATATGACACACACCAGCTAAAGGAGTCAATATACCCCACCCTCTCATTCCCTCGGGCAGATGAAGAAACAGAGTCAGAAAGAAGCAAAGATTTACTCAGGTCTCCAAGCATGGAGGTGGCAGAGTAGAACTTGGAATTCAGGCCTTCTGCCTACTTGTCAGGACCATTTCTATTTCACGACAAAGGTGGATCCCACTCACTGGCCTCTCCCGGGACAAAGACCCAACTCCTGGTTTCAGCCAACAAAGTTTTCACAGCAGAACTTTTCAATCTCTTCCAACCTCTCTTGCCCTCCAGTCTGGGCTCCAGCCACATCATTTTTTTTGGTCTTCAAGAGCACCATGCCTCTTACTTCTTTCTCAAGACTCTTGCCTCTCTGCCTAGTTAACCCTCACCCATCCTTCTGCTCTCAACGCAAATGTCACTGCTACCACAAAGTTTTCTTGGACCTCTCTAGACTGAGCTAGTTCTCCTTACCATAGATTTTGTTTCCTCACAACACTTATAATTTTTTCAATACATATATATATATCAATACATATATATATATAATTTTATGATCCATGTCTCTCCTTGAGACATAGCTCCATGAGGACTGGAATTTGTCCTGCTCACCTCCCTTTCCCAGATCAAATTAGGGAAAGAGAAAAGGCTGAAAACACAAAGGGGAGACAGCTTTGTTGAACTGTAAATCAAGGGATCTGAATTTTCACTTTGGACACATGACCCTGAGTAGCTGCTGCCACACCTTTGTGCCTCAGTTTTCTGGTCTATAAATGGGGCTGGCAATATCCGTTCCACATAGAATTTCAGTGAAGCTAATAAAGGTCCCCCAAGGTGAAGAAGTGTTTTGCACATAATGAAGAATTCTGTGGGGCAAGCAGATTTTCCCAGTAACAGGCCTGATTCCATCTTTTTCACACTTTTTACAAAGCCCTGGTTTCTTGAATCCTTCAATATGCTGATTACAAGAGACACATCAAAAAGGTGGAGACATACTATAGGATGAATGTAAAATGAATGTTCTCCCATGTAAACTATCACATAATTCACAATAAAATATTTTAAAAAAAAAAGTGGAGACATTCTTAATACCCATCAACAGAAGAATGGTTGAGCAAACTGGTAATACACACAATGGAATACTAGGCAACACTGAAGAATAATGAGGAATCTGCAATACATCTCACAACAGGGATGTACCTGGAGGACATTAAGCTAAGTGAAATCAGCCAGTCACAAAAGGACAAATATTGTATGAGAGACTAATGTATAAAGTTAAGAAAAAGGTTTTCTTGATAAAAGAAATATTCTATGCTGGTTATGGAGGGGAGGGGAGGGGATTATTCATGGGCTAGAAGGTAAGCACATGTTAACACAGGTGACAGAGCAGGCAATATACCACAAGAGAAACGATGGCAGAGGACAGATGAAAGTAGAGAGAGACA